AACACATCCAGAGGACAAAAGATGGTGAGATATCCATCCTAGCCTCTTTCTAACCAGAAGGGCAGACAAGTCCAGATCTTCTGAAAAAGAGATCTGGATTGTTTTACTTGCAGAGATGCTAAAATGTAAGCCTGCATGCATAGTACTGAAGATGGGGCTGAAACCTCAATAACAGTGTGACAGCTGGAAATAAAAGGATTTTTACTGTAATCGGCTTCCCTTCCCAAATATGATTAACTGTCTTGCCTTACCTCTGTTGGCAGATAGGAAAGGAAAGGGATATCAATCTTTTCGCACTGTGTGGTGAAATCTCTGTAGAGAGGATTAGAAGACTTTTTGGGGTAGAAAATGGTTGGCTCATATTCCTAGAATGGAAAACAAGAAGTGAATGCAGATAAGCATAGCGGGTAACCACTTCCCTGGTTATAACCAAAGCAAACATGAATATGTGTAATTCCAGAAATCGTTCCAGTTAAATCAAAGAGGAAATTGTTCCAGTTAAATCAAAATTCAAGAGGCAGGACAGAGAAGAGCATGTAGGTTGGACAATAATGTCAGAAGAGTTACAAACTGCTATGGGGAAATTCCTAACGAGGTTTTCTTTATGAACGGTTATGTGAATTAACTGGAAAGCGATTCAAGCAGCTTTGCAAGGAATCTTGGGAATCATACCCAATCCAGGAGTTGAAACTTCAAAGAAATTTGAGATATTTTCAAGGCTCAGGATGCTAACTTCTGTTTTTAGCAGTCCTCTAAAAGGGTACCAGAATTTAGAGCAGTCCTCTAAAAGGGTACCAGAAAAGGGTACCAGAAGAAAGGGTAAAACACAGTGAGTCAGAATCCTGTCCTTGAGAAAAGATAAAGAAGATTTCAGTTAGGTAATCAGAAAATAGAAATCCAGTATGGGAAGACCCAATAGCTGATAGCCTGGCAAAGTTTGTAGACGTTTACTTGTCCAAGCCTACTCAAAGAGGAAATGGTGAAAACAGGGATGGGCAGATTTCAATTACCAAAGACATTGAGCACTCCAGTAAAGAAATCCATTCTCTCTAGTTTGTCTCAGATAGGTAAGATAACTGCTTACCAATCAACGAAGCCTTGTTCTGTTGTGGTAGATGGGTTTATTAATACTCTGATAGAAATTATATTAAGAATGTTAGCCCAGCTAGGTGGCAGTATCTAACTGTCCTGGGCTGATCTAAAAAATGTAAGCAGGGAAGGGTTTGGTTAATACTTGGAAGAAGAGTACCAAAAAGTAAGAGGGGACCAGGACAAAAACAAAATTTAATTCAAATTATTTTATATTGCTTTCCCTGTGCGTTTATCTATTTTTTCCTTTTTGGCACATTAAAAATCGTGGAGTCCTTGGTGCTCTCTGAGCTTGGTTGTTTTCTTGCAGATGTTTTGTTACCCAGCTGGGTAACATCTTCAGTGCTAGAATGGAATGAGGTTTGCTCTCTGTTTATATACAGAGCAGCCCTCAAAAGCCTAAAGAAGGACCAAATCATCATCCTCCCAGCAGATAAAGGCCAAACCACAGTTATCATGGATAAATCACAATACTTACAAAAAGCCAAAAAATTATTAGAAGACAAAGAAACCTACATCCCAGTCAACACCAACCCAATACAGAAACTAGGCAACCTGATCAAGAGAACCCTTAACAACCTAACCAAGAAACCATATCACAAAAGAAGAACAGTGGCAGATGAAAAGCAGTGGACCCATCCTCCCATGTTTCTATGGACGACCAAAAATACACAACCCCGACATACCTCTCCGACCTGTTGTATCTCTATCAGGGACTCCAACATACAACATAGCGAAAGAACTAACAAAAAAGCTTGGACATCTCACAGAAAGGAGTGAATATTCTATCAACTCACTACAGTGCCTCCAGAAAAATCAAAGATGTACACATAGAAGAAGATGAAATTATGGTTTCATTTGATGTCACAGCACTCTTACATCCATAAACCCAGAACCAGTGAAAGAATCCATGTCAGCAGTGCTACATAACACACCCGACCTAACCAAATATACCCAGATCAAAATACCCAGAATCATGGACCTCATCAACCTCTGCCTCACCACCTATTTTCAGTTTGATGGACAAATATACCAACAAATCAGAGGCGCACCCGTGGGATCACACTGTATCATGGACCTCATCAACCTCTGCCTCACCACCTATTTTCAGTTTGATGGACAAATATACCAACAAATCAGAGGCGCACCCGTGGGATCACACTGTCAGGACTCATAGCAGAGATTGTAATGCAACACCTAGAAACTATAGCACTTCCATGCATACAACCAAAAGTATGGATCCAGTATGTGGGTGACACCTTT